CCCCCCCCCCCCCCAAATTCTAGCATCATAGATACCCTATTCTACACAGAGCCACTTGTTATTACAGGAGCCCAGAACAGCTGAGGTGGGCAGGCACCTCTGGGGATCGTCTGGTCCACCTCCCTGCTCAAAGCAGGGTCACCTAAAGCAGGTTGCACACAGCCGTGTCCAGATGAATATCTCCGGGATGAAGGTGCCACAACCTCTCTGCCTGCTCCCCCCTCCAGGTATCTATAGACGTGGATAAGATCCCCCTGAGCCTTCTCTTCTCCAGGCTGAACAGTCCCAGCTCTCTCAGCCTGTCCTCTTATGACAGATGTTCCAGTCTCCTCCTCATCTTCCTGGCCCTTTGCTAGCCTCACTCCGCTATGTCCATGTCTTTCCTATACTGGGGAGCCCAGACCTGGACACAGCATTCCAGCTGTGTCTCACCAGTGCTGAGGGGATCACCTTCCTCCACCTGCTGGCAATGCTCTTCCTAATGCAGCTGAGGAGGCTGTTGGCCACCTTTGCCGCAAGGGCATGTTGTTGGCATATTCAACTTGCCACCAGGACCCCCAGGGCCTTTTCTGCCAAGCTGCCTTCCAGCATGTGCTGGTGCATGGGGTCGTTCTTCTCAGGTGCAAGACTTTACGTTTCCCTTTGTTGAACCTCATGAAGTTCCTGTCAGCCCATTCTTTCAGCCTGTTGAGGTCCCTCTGGATGGCAGCACGACCCTTTGGTGTATCTGCCACTCCTCCCAGTTTTGTACCATCTGTGAACTTCCTGAGGATGTACTCTGCCCCATCATTCAGGTCACTAATGAAGATAATGTTAAACAGTATTGGCCCCAGTACCAACCCCTAGGGTATTTCACCTTAGTGACTTGCCTCCACTGGGCTTAGTGCCACGGATCCCAACCCTTCAATCTACCTTGCTGTCTACTTATCTAGCCCATACTTCCTCAGTTTGTGAGGAAGTTGTCAGAGATGGTGTCAAAAGCCTTAAGTAAATTCAAGATAAACAACATTCACTGCTCTCCTCTCATTTGCCAAGACAGTCATAGAATCATAGAAGGCTGTAAGGTTGCTTAAGCGTGATTTCCCCTTCATAAATCCATGGTGACTACTCCTGTTCACCTTCTTGTCCTTAGTGTGTTTGGAAATGGTTTCTGGGAAGATTTACTGTGTCACCTTCCCAGGGATTGACTGGCCTGTAGTTCCCAAGATTCTCCTCCTTTGAGACAGGACTCTCATTCTTCCACTCCTCAGGAACTTCCCCCAGTCACCATGACCTTTCAAAAATAATAGAGAGTGGCCTTGCACCGACATCAGGCAGCTCCCTCAGCACTTGGGTGTGCAACCATCAAGTCCCATGGACTTGAGCATGTCTGGTTTGTTTAAATGTTCTCTAACCTGATTCAACTTCACTGAACGTGTCCTTGCTCCAGGGAGCTGGGATTGCTGAAAGCAGGGAACTTCAGAGAGGCACCCAGACGTGCTGATTTCCCAGAAAAGTTATGAGAGCTTTTCCCAGGAAGCTCTCCTCCCAGCACGTCCTTGTTTTCATGCATACATGTGGGCTGGGCCCCCATCTGCCACGTATCAAGATCTCTTCTGTCCACGTCACACTGCAACCTTTGCTTGCTAAGCTAGTCCATCACTTCCTCACTGTTGCCCCTAAAGCTCTTC